TTTTTTGTTCTTTTTTGTTTCTTTTTTTTTTTTTTTAATTTTTTTAAATTTTTCGTTTTACGGTTTGTTCGTTTTAATGCTTCTTGGAACACATGATCACTCGCGCATTCTTTTTATTTTTTATTTATTTATTTATTTATTATTTTTTTTTTCGTTTGTACATGCACAACACTTGCTTCTGAAGAACCAATTCAACGCCTGATCGCATTCGTGACAAGATTCCGATTTCCATTCCGTCCATTTCTGCAATGATAAATAATTCAATGGAAGATTGTATCGTTTCGTTAATTTGTGATCCTTTTCGTTCTTTTTTTCAAAATACTAGAAGAGCATGATATAGGAAGCACTTGGATTCCGTCCTCTTTGGAGGATAACATATACTTATCGTTATTTTAGGATTAGGATTTTCTTCGATCAATTTTCTCCCTTTGTTTAAAATTCGAGTTTCCAAATTTTGATGAGAAGGGGAAAAAGAAATGACTCGATGAAATCTCAAGTTTTTATCAATAAATATCGAATCGATCGAAAGAACGTTCGATCAGAATCTCGTCACTCGTGCGATTATCTCGCAACAACCGTGCCACAATGATCATAATTGATCATAATAAATTATCGCGTAATACAAAAAAAAAAAAAAATTACTTCTTTAAACGATACGATATCCATAAAAAAAAGAAAAAAAATACACTTCCCACTTTCTACGAAACAAACAACGATATGTAACGCGAATGAAAAAAATAAAAAGAAAAAAAAAAAAACAAGATTTTCAAATGTTTTCAAACGATATTGTGGAACGGTTACAAGGCGATCGTCAGAATCGATAGGCGATAGGTGTGCGATAGCGATCCCTTGAGGATTGAAAATTCGTTGAGGCGGGTCGAAGAAATATTCTCTCTCCTCTTCGCTCTTCTCCACATCCCCGCGATATCCTTGTTCCTCTCTGGGGAGGGGAAGAGAGGCTCTCAAACGGACACCCGTCGCGGCAGTTGTTGTTGCGAGAACGTACCACTGACACCGGTCGACGGTCGTCAGATACTTGCACGGTGTTGATGCAACGGAGGCAGTTGCAGCAACGGCGTCAACGGCGGCGGGCGTACCAGCTCACTGCGCACATTCAACGTGGGCAGCTGCTGCATCGGCAGCAGGTGCGATATCTTACCGGGCGAGCGACGTACGGTGAACCGTGGTCTCCGTCGTTTCTTCTGGAATCCGCTGCAGCAGCAGCTGCAGACCGACGTCTCGTCGTCCAGCGATATCGTGTCACCGTGGTTCCCCACTTGGCCCGACAGTATCGAGCCGTTCGCCGTTATTACGTCGCCCTCCAGGCGCACCGCTCCTTGCGCAGCCTGCGTCACACAACAATTTTCCTTTTCTTTTTTTTCTTTTTTTTTTCTTTTTTTCCTTTTTCCCTATCGTCAATCGTCGTTTGATACCGTGAACACGTTTCGATCGAAGAGAAACGCTTCGAATGCCGTCGAAACGTGTTCCCGGATTTCGATCGTTTCGAAATGTGCGGCGAAAGGGGTAAGGGAGAGGAGATCGCACCACGAGGGGTTCGCATCTGGAAGATTTTCTTGTATTGATTCGCGGGGCTAGGTTCAGAGTACCGTGGAGGCTGAGTATACCAACCCTTTGCGATCCGGCATCACGTGCAACGTGGTTATAATATGACGTGGAGTAGAAATCGTCACCTCCGTTTTTTAAATCGATATCTAATTGATATCGATGGTAGATAAGTAATTTTTAAATGAGTTTTTTTTTTTTTGGTAATTCAATGTTATTATGCCGAATGACGTAATATCGAAATATCGATGATAGAATTTATTCTGGAGACTTGAAATTGAAATTACAGTTTTTCGATTGTGGAATTGCAATTTTAGAAATAAACTAATCTGTCGTATATTTGTACTCTTGCTTGATAGCTTCTTCTTCTTTTTCTTCTGGGAAATAGAAGACGGACCGCAAAGAGTTATTTCGAAAATTTCGATTCTAATTTTTCGTATTGCTTTTTAACCCCTCGAGTTCGACGAGCCAGGGCGAAACGATTGTTTAAAAAGACGTACACGGGAGAAAGAAACGATATCCCCCGTCGATAAAATATTTTCTCAATGATCAATACTTTGATGGACGATGTAAAGGCCGATGCGATGTTTCCCTTACCTGTAGAGCCTCGGCCTCGTCTCGCCTTTCGTCCTCCGTATTCATTGTGACAAATCTCAGCACTAATAAATTGAGGGAGGCGGCGACTATGGCCAAGCCGAATAAAATGAATATCAGGGCGAACATCACGTATTCCGGCTTGTTGTTCAGCGCGTTGTCCTTTTGGAGCGCGACCATGTCGCCGAAACCAATGGTGGTCAGGGTGATGAAACAATAATAGATGGAGTCGAAATACGACCACCCTTCGTATCGAGAGAACGCAGCTGCACCTCCCGCAATCGTTAAGCAAGATAAGGTCGTCACCACGCAGATGAGATTTATTTCTGAGGCCTGAAAATCACAGGAGAAAATTTTCTCGATTTTAGATTCGTCCTATGACGGAGTTACTGTAACGAAATGTACGAAGCTAAATGCTTCTATGCTCTCTTTTTATATCTTTCGTTTGAAATAATGTCGAATTGTTTATTCGACAATGGATAAATGGAAATTTGTGTTAATTTCCTTTATGAATTTTAAATTTAGCAATTCTGCTATTGAAATCAGGCATAGGTGATATAATGCTTGGAAGAAGACATTGAATTAATGAATATGTTACTCTTTGATTTTCTAAAAATACCCGATATTGCGTATATTATGAATTAATAAACAAGTTTAGTTACGTCGATTGGAAAAATAAGAAAAATTTTTCTTCTGATACGACGATTCGATTAATTGATTTAAATATCTTCTTTTCTTTCAAGATTAAAAAAAACTTTAAATCTAATGAAATCGAACTATCGATGATTTGAATTATTTAAGAGGATAGATAGAATCTATAGTTTTACCTGGACATCCTTACAGTTAAGTAGCTTCTTTACGTTCCGTATAACGACGGACGAGAATTTATTCAAACGCTCTCCTATGCTCTGGAACATTACGAGCCCTAACGGGATACCAACGATCGCGTAGAACATCGTGAACAGCTTACCGCTTATGGTGTTCGGCGTCGAATGTCCGTAACCTAGAAATCAATCGATAAAAAGACAAGGTAAATCCATTCGATGAATTTAATAATCGAATCTCGAAAGGAATCTCGAGCAGGAGTTCAAAGTGGGATCGATTTTTCGTGAAATAGAATGAAAATGAATCCGATATTGGAATCTTTAATGCGTTTACATCATAGTGGACACCAAGTGGAAAACATTGTAGAAATATTTTTAAAATTTTTAAGGAAGATACTTGGTTAGAAGAGTGGATATATATTTATAAAATCATCATGTATGTGAGTATTTTCAATGAAAACGTACCAATAGTGGTGAGGACCGTGATCGCATAATAAAACGCTCCGGCAAATTTCCACTGTTGACCTGCTTTATGAGGTTCCGTCTTCAGCACCACTGTTTCCATGATCTTGAAGTCGTCCTCGCTTATATTGTACTTGCGTATAACCATTTTTTCAATGGCTGTTAACAAAAACATCGAAAAATATTATTTTTATACCGTGCAAATCTGTAAAATTACGTAAATTCCCTTTAATTCGAATATATCTTTTTCCCTTAATATTTTTTTTTCGACTTTATATTCACTTTATATCGATGCACTCTTAATGCAATCAATTTTAAACGAGACTTGTTTCTTTACTTAGTTTAGCAAAATTGCATGGAATAAATAGCAGAGGAACAATTGGGGAAATTCATTTCCTGTTTACAAAGTGACAGAAAATCAATTCTTTTAATAAAATTCTTTTAATAAAATTACACTTCGAAATCGCCGCGATCTATTCTTCCCTGCCTTAATTCAAATTTTATTCCTCGATACGAGAAATACCATTTTGAATCATGAATAGACTGTGGACCTTCATGCAAATATTTTTTATATATTTAGCATGTTTTGCATAAATGCATGACGCGACATTTAACCCAAAAAATTGTGTAACACGTGGAAGATCCACTTTACTTCAACCGAAGGACGTTTTAAATCGATGTTCAGAGTTATTAATTAAGATTGTTGTCAAAATAATATTCTTCCAGAAATAAACCGCGTAATTATTCGAAACAAAAAAAAAAAAAAAAATTAAAACGGCTACGAAGATGCTAACTTCAACAAGTGAATGAACCATCGTTAGAAGCGCAAAACTTTGCCCTTTCAATTTTAATTCTTAATCCTTCGTTATTCCCATTTTTTCCGTTCCTTATTCAAACGAAAATTGTTTTAGAAAATTCTCCCTTTCCATCGATCATTTAGCGAATCAATAGAATTACAACCTCGAGAATAGAAATCGATCGATATATTTCCTTTTCAATATTATTAAAAGATTCGATGATTGAATTTTTAAAGAGGGTGAATTAGCTCCTTCTCTTCTTAATTTAATTAAGAATCATAACGGATGTACCGTCCAATGCTTCCTTGCGTCGTTTCTCCGTCTCGGACTCGAGAACGTCGAAGATTGCAGCGCCGACGAGGAGGTAGGTGAACGTGAAGACGATCAACGATAGGGTCCGGACGTTTTGCTTCTTCATTCTCTAGTGAGCCACATGCTCACTAGCAGGGCCCCGGCCCTAACTACTTGCATCGCTCAGTGGGGTACGATTTGGTGTGCCGGGCCCATGACGACCCCTTCTCCTTTCTGATGATGCTCGGGGGGGCCCCTCCTCTGTTTACCGAGCGCTACAGACCCGGCACGCGACTCCTCTTCTTCAGGGTGTCTTCTTCCTTGCAGAGACTACCTTCCAGCCGCTTTCCTTCATCTGAAATATCCGCCCATTTTCAAAAAGAGATTGCTCGTTTTTACGCCTTATATCTTTTCTTTACCTCCTTCGATAGATATTTTATATTATATCACTTCACGATATATTATAAATAATTTCAACGATCGAACGAAAGATCGGTCTAACAAAATTATTCCTCCTAATCTTCATGATTTTTCGATCAACCTGCGAAATAGGAAATCGACGAGGAAAAAAACTAAATTTCCGACCAATTTTTGTCGAATAACGATAATTCTCGACGCTTGTAAGTAGAACAAAGCGATACAAGCGAGGCAAATGGTCAAGCTGGCAAAAAAAAAAAAAAAAAAGAAGATGCGCAAAGGAGGCTTTTTCGAGGAGGAATATCCGGATATCCGGTATTAGTTGCAGAGAGGTTCGAGAGGTTCGAGCAAAGGATCTCTTTTCAAACGTTCCGTGAACATTAGTCGCGGTACGACGTTAGGGGTTTCGAAGATATAAAAAGGCATAATCGTCCTTGCCGCTAAAACGGGATTCTTTTGAGAATCGTCCTTTTCTCGTTCGAGTGAGCTGAACCGAGATATATCCGAGTGAGGAGGGGAGGTCGAGCAAAAAATCCGCTGATATAGAAGAACTCACCTGCAGCCTGTTCCGGGTTCTCCTTTACGTACGACAAAGGGTTGAGCAGAATGATATGGCAGTGCTTTCGCTGCTCCCACTGCCACGTTCCCTCCATTCCTCAGCTTAGCGCCCAACTCTTTCAGTGCCGACTGTAATGGAGCAACAGGATTTTGGTAAGTTTCTCTTCCTCGTTTCTTCGACGATAATTCTCCCTCAACGGAGTTTAAAATATGCAATATTATACATTTGTTCCTTGATATGATAATGAGTGATACGTTTGAATTTAATCTATGAATGCATTTATGTGTCTTGTAATGAAGAATTTAGAAAGAGATTATTAATATTAATCTAATGTAAATAAAAATATACAGTTTATTCATTATATAATTTTATCGTTTTAAAATATCATCGGTAATTATAAAGATCAATAGAAATAAAATCCACGAGAGAAGGAAGAATTAAATTTAACTTGTTTCGATACCGTTGGATATTCATCTTGGAGAATTATTTGAAAAAAATTAAAGAATCAAATATCTCCTGTTATTAAATTGAACGAGCGTTGAAAAGGGAGAGGGAGAGAGAGGAGAGAGAGCACGAAAAATATGTCGTCTTCCGTTCCTGTCGGACTTATCGCGATTATTTCTTTAAATGTCAAAGACCATGTCCCAGATAGGAAATCGAGCAAAAATTACAAGTCGGTGCACCTTTAATCCACGTCCTTTCCCGGATCGGATCGTTGCGTTTTCTGCCCACACTGGTTCCACGAACTCTCATCTTAATGGATATCGATTAACGCCGCGAGAACGATACATCAAAGAATCACAACGGCGCTCGTACAGGAAGTTGAGCATAGATTAAAAATAAATCTGTTTCACGCGAAGGATATTTTTCGTTCCAGGCAATTAAATGACGGTGCACGATCTCAACCAAACCTGTGTGATCTATCTTCCGTCAAACTTGCAGTATCGAAGTATCGAGAATTCTGTTTCAACAATGTTTCGTAGAACGTCAGAATGATCTATGTGTGTGTGTGTATGTATGCGTACCATGAATTTGCAACAGAATTAGTTTCCGACGTTTCTACGTCTATTTGGTTATGCGATTATAGCAGTGCTTCGTTAACTGGTCAGAATTCTGCTTCGCTAACTGACAAAATCCTGTCCTCCTGGATTAGCAGGCACACTTTGCGTTCCTGTCTTACTTTTGTCCCAATCGAGGATATATTTGAGATTTTCCACAGACGCGTGCACCTGTCTCTCCCTAATTTCCTAGAAATTGGAAATCGTCTACAAATCGGCAAAATATATATCATCACGTTTAGAAAAACTATGCTATGTTTCGAGATCGAGATCAATTCTACCGAATTGAGATTTAGCATTTCGCAGGGTCGACGTCAAATAGATTCTACGATGATTCGATTTATTTTTCAACCCATTTTCCAATCTATCGTCGTTCTTATCGAATTTGTCGGAGAAGGAATATAACGTGGTTGAAACCTGCCTTCAATCTCTTGCGCGAAAGGAAGAAATTTTTATTACGGTCACATCGTCGATTTGCCAATGGATTTTCTAACCTATTAGGAATTCTATGAATAATGCATATTCCTCCATATTGTGTTACGACAATCATGGCGTGTACTCATTATTGTTCCCTCCCTCGGCCTATTAAATCTGGATTTACGCTAATGATCCGCGCTTTGTCGTGACAAGGGCCGTGTCACGTTTGTCAGCCACGATGAGCCACGTTTTACTTTGTGTCGACGCGCGTTTATCGACAAAAGTCAACGCCGCCGGTTGTTCGTGATGCGAGCGTGGCCATCGTGTGCCGTTCTCACGTGTGCTTTAATTACACTGACGCTCTATGATCTATCTTTTATCGTTAGATCAACATTCCTCTCGAACGAAGAATAAAGAACGGATTGGATCCCAATCACACGCGATTTCTCTTTAAAATTTTATTATCATCCTCTTCTCGTTACATTCCAAGCGATGTTTCCACGCCGCATTAAATCTGGAAATATTTCTCTCAGATTTCCTATTGTTAATTAATTATATCCGAAAATGTAGATCCACAGATCCGTTGTACTCGCATAATATTATTCCTCTGTGTGGGGTGAAAATGAAAATTGTTACCCACGAAATTTCATCTATGCACTACTGCGGTTAAGCTTTTCAATCTTGGCTCACAGTGTCTCTTGAGTAGAGTGGTGCAAAAGTGCCCTCGAGATCTAGAACCACTTGATTATGCCATTTAGGATAGGATCGGGGCATTTTCGATAAATCCACTTGTTGTTGCGCACCCTTTGTGATTTTTATTCGAGTAAAAAAATAATAAGGTGATCGAAGAGTATCAAGATATAAAGAAATAACGGAGAATTTATTTATCTTTCGAAAGCAAATAAACCGATGTTTTTCGATCCTTTGTACCTGTGTTTAATGAGATCCAATTACAATCTTTAATTATCTGTATACGGCGAACTGTATCGACGGTCGAATCAAGGATTCAAGTTAATCGAGGTTTATCGGGGGTGAGCTTTTATCCGAAGCCACTTACAGAGAAAACTGCTAAACGAGAATTTCACGAACAACTGGATGGAACTGCCGTGAGATAACTCGAACTTAAAATAAATGAAACGCAAGATCCAATGACTATCTCGATTCCACTTACTTTTCGTAGCAGTAGTTAAGCGCGGACGTACAACCTCGATCCAGACACTTCTACTTCTTCTTTTGTCTATTTCGTAATCTTGGGATTCGCTTTCGTTATTCTATTATCTTTATAATTTTTTTTTTTTTTGATTATTAAGAAATCTAAAAATTGTAATATACAACGTTGATGAATATTTAAATAAATTGTAATAATTTTAAACACCAATAGCCAAATATATACGAAAGCAATGTATGTTGGAGAATGGATCGCAGAATTTGAGAAGCAGAGGAATTGAACAATGGTATGGCTATTTCGAGAGGAAGGGAAGCAATCATCACCGTCAAATCCATTTCAACATCGTGTACCAACCGACCCACGTGTTTCCACGATAGGTGAGTCGCATGCTTTGGGTGCTTTGGGTGATGGGATAAATGTTTGAATATGATTAGTGGTGCTCGAATACCAGCATGATTGCCACGAGTTTTATCACACTCGTGTGAACGTGAAATGAATTTCCATAACTATTAAGATAATAATTACACTCTACATAAACGTGGTGGAATAATTTAATGCAAAAATCAAATGCAACGTATAATCGTTAAATTTTTTTTCCAATTTCACGTTCAATCGAATTTTAATATTTTTATTAAAACGATATCGTCCAATTCCTTTTTTTTTTTCTCTCCTTCCCCCCTCTTTTACTTACCCCGATTTAATTTATTTATCCCGATAAAATATCATCGCCAATACCAAGTTCGAAATATTCGTTTTTATCCGTGTTATTCCTTTTATCCTTTCCCATTGAATAAACTTCGCGCATGAAGCTAACTTCCTTTCTCGTGGCTTCAATAGCGTCAATATTATCTGAAATATTGATCTATCAATAACTGACTCCGCGTCTTGAAATATCTGACGCCACGTCGTAAAACGTGGCGCGCTCGCTCGTTGTTCAAGTATTTATATATTCCTGGAAAGTGATTGGCGTCGACTCTAAATTTTGCAATCGAGAACAAGAGGAACACCTGGCCGGGTTAACCTTCTAAGCTTAATTTTGCAAAGACGATTCGCGATTACTCGTATAATCCCGGTTCCGGTTAATTCGTTCTCCTGACGGAATTTAGTCTGTTGAATTTCCGGTTGCCGCCACGAAATCTCGGCTGCTTCATAAAATTTGTAACGCGGGAAGGCAAGGGTACGCAGGAATCCTGCCGAATTTCTATCCCAAATTAATACTAATCCATCCTGGGTCCATCCCGTTTAAAACTTGGGCGTCAAACTTTCGATCCGGTTCCTCCCATTTCCATGAATAACATCATGGTATCAAAGAAAAGAAAAAGTACAAACAAATTATTTAATATATCCAGTGAGGCGAATTACAAGTTTGAAAATTTGGAATTACATAGAATTCGTGAATTAAATGAGAAAGAGTTACATCAGAATGCGAATAGATGTGAAACTCTGGAGAATTGTCTTCGTTCTCAATGTGAATACATTTGAAAGTAAATTTTTTTAGAGAATATTTTGCACGAGTCGCTCTAGGAATCTAATAATTTCAAAATTATTGAAAAATAATTATCGAAGGTAACGCTGTCGAGAAATATTACAAATTCTTCTTATACAAATATAATTGAGATTAATTTCGAATTATTAACAAAATTAGAAATTTAGAAAAAACTAGAAATTTATTTTCATATTCTTTGTATACTTTCTTAGAAGAAATATTTCTATCTAATCTGGTTTATATTAGAAATTCAGATTGCTTGTGAATTAGAATTTCTGCAGTCTTCAGTTATTAAAGAACCCCGAGGGGGGTTGGAATTGAAACCTCGTTAACACTAATGAGTTGAATAATCTCTCATGTCATATAACTACGAATCAGTGCATCGAGCAATGATTGCATTTGCGGTCATTGTTACAATGCGACTACAATCACAATTACATAATCGAGTGTTAATAATAAAACGACTGGGTTAGCTTATAATTAGAGTTTTTAATGTTAAAGTATTGTATTATAATTGTAATAAGTTCAAAATAAAAAGCGAGATACAATCGAATCCACGTTGACGATACTTTCACTAGCAACTTCATTTCGAGTTGTTTTTAAAAAAGGTCAGACGAGCTTAATGCATCAAATATTTAAACACGAATTCTTGTATAGCTACAAATATTTATTCGAGTTTTGTATTTTATTTATAACAAGAGTTTTTATTTTAGCTATTAAAATATCGATACGGGTAATTAATTAAATTTTAAATAATTGTTTCGAAATGCGAAAATAAAATATTTATAAATAACTAAATTCAAATTTTATTATTTTCAATATTTTTTTCGAATTTTATATTTTGTCCATTTTTCTTTCTATTTATTTATTTATTTATTCTATTTTAGAGATTGAAATATTGACATGGATATTCGTTGATCAAATCTCAAATAATCCTTCTGAAAGTAAAAAGTGATGTTCAGTAGATTAACTTTTTACAAAATTTTTATTTCATATATT